ATAAAACGTGGAAAAATATAATATTAAAATTCGAATAAAAATAAACTTTCCTTTGAGATCTGAAAATTTTAATAAGTATTTCGTAAAATTTAAGTTTTTTTTATGACATATTTTTAAAATTAAATATTTATAGAAGAATATTTGTATATTATTCTATGATATTAAAGGTTCTTCTATGAATATCAAAAGAATATAGAATAAAAAATTGAATGAAAAACCATTATTGAAAGATCAAACAAATATTCATCAAAGTATTCCTTTATATTGCTAACCATTGTGATCGTATACAGATACCTGCCAAAACTTCATAATTTAAATTTGACAATGTAAAAATTAATTGATACAATTACTACAATCATATCAAAAGACCTCAAGTGATGAGAGAATTAGCATATCATCTCAACTGCTTTCCATCTGCCTGATCCATCGAGTGAGGTCTACATTAGATTATAAATTTCAAGAAATATGTTAGTTTGATTCATTTCCAATCATATAATTGTTTCGAAATTAGTCATATTTGATTAAGACAGGAGAAAGAAGATTGTGTAATCATTCAACATTTTTGGAAGACAATGTGTTTGTAAAACTAGCTCATAGCTAACAATTTATGTACTTGAAATTCAAAAGTATATATTTAAATGACATGTTCTGTGATTAGTATGCTGTACATCATTCAACTTGAAAGTGATATTCGTAACCAAATTAGCTCTCAGAAATAACGTAAATAATTTTTTTCATTGTCTATACAAAAACAAATACAAAAGTATGATGAAGAAAATTAAGGAAAAAAATGGGAAAAAAATTTGAAATCAACCTGGATTTATTATATCCATATATATGCATAATGAATTTTATAAAAGATCATGAAATTATTATTCAGGTACACATGAGTGGTTAAAAGATTTTGAAGACCATATAATCATCGCACTACAAATAACCAGTGCAAAATAATGTTGAGAATTATGTTCAAGATTATATAACATGTGAAATAATAATTTTTAGTTTTAAAAAATCAAATGGTGTTACAATAGTATATTTGTTCAAAACGATATGAACATACTGTATTAGAATATTTAGAAAGAATTCAGGAACAAAACATTTTATCAAATTAATATTTGAAATAAATTCAAATTTCCAATTAACCTCTTCAAAAAAATTGTAATGTCTGTGGTTTTTGAAAATCTTATAAATATTCATTAAATTAGGGAAAAATGGAAAAAATTATTTTATTCTAATATTTATATAATTATATATTTGAATGTTAATATATCAAAGAGTGGAAACCAATTTTTTATTGCATCTGATATTTTAAAGAATGCATTGACTTAGAGCATGCTTTGTCATCTGTTTTAAGATAATTTTGATAGATGATGTTTAATGTGGAGATCATCTAATCTTCATAGAAAAATCATTCGAGAAAAAGTTGGAGACAGAATGATTTATCACTAAAGATGTTAGCTCGTTCCTTCACGTCTTGACCAGCTTGGTTTATTTTGGCACATAGGCTTTTGTTAAATAGTATATGTGGATTCGTTCCATGAGTGTACTTTTCCGTAATCGTGAAATTCCATTGATATAAATAGTATCCTTGGTTTTGAAGACTTGCCATCTTTGTCTTTCTTAAATGGATATTATATATTTTTTAAATGTGATATAATATCTTTTTAATAAATAAATCATTCCAAAAGGACATTTGATATTACTAATATACTCATGCGCATATAATTTACTAGTTTATCTATTTATCAGATACTATGTTACTGACCGCTAAATCTGTGCCACTTTTTACTATACATTCCAAAGGGGCATTTGATTATACCAAAATAATCATGCGCAATAGTTTTGCATTTATCTATGAGTGAAATCAATATAATGCGCAGATTTACCCGCTTTTTCTATACAGAGCAGATACTTACTACAGGACGTATTAAAATCTAGTCGAAGATTTACGAGGAGCATTTTACAATGAATATCAATGTGGCCTAGACAAGAGATTACCTCGATTCATTTGTCGAGGCAACACTAATGCTCAATTGACTGCCGGCGGGTACGGTACGAGGAGTTACATTGCAGAGCAGCACGCGATGAATTTTAGAACTTTCGGTCACACCAAATCACTGCCGTGTATATTCTCGTGTTCGGTTGGGGTCTCTAACAGATACAGAGCCGCTAGAGATCGAGAATGGTAATATTCGGAAGGAGAATCAATGTCACAAGGGACATCTTGGACTTTGTACTGATGACATTCTAAATGACAAGGATTTTGTGACCTAAACAAACAAATCCAGTAGTTAGCTACGTGCCATAAATCTACAGATTTCGATGTTATAGAAACAAAGAGACATGCCCACGTGCTGAAATCGAGGGGCGGTTCCCAATTAAAATCCCGGTCAAGATCTGTGTCATGCGGTATTCTAGAAGCACAACCTATAATTTTCTAGCACCTACTTCCACAATTTCTTGCTGTAGTCTCTCTCTCTTTCTCTCTCCACCCGCGCCCTCGCTCTCTCTCTCTCTCTCTCTCTCTCTTTCTGCTTTCCGACCAAGTCGTCCTCGTTCTTTGCACTAAGATTCGCAGCTCCTCTAATTAGTAATGGCGATTTCGAGCTGCCTTTCCCTCATTCCTTCTTAATATAAGTAATGATTTGTATATGTCATTCTAACCCGAAAGCCAACACAGGGCCCAGCTCATTTGTCTACGTACAGCAGGAGCTGGCTAGATCCACACAGAGTAGGGAATCTCGGAATAACTTTGATGCCCTTGACTCCCTTCAGAACTACGATTAATTTTGTTTCTGGTCTGTCATCGAGCATAAAAATTCCCCTATCAAGCTAACTTCACATATACTGGAACTAATCCTGGATGTATAATATAAAATCTTTTTACGTGCCCAACATAACTTCAATTGAAAGTCCTGATTTTGGTTTCGCCCAAAATAGATGACACTGTGATGGCACAACCAGCGGAGAAAAGTTTAGAAGTAACTCTGGAAAGAAAACTCTCCGATCCTCTGATGAAATCTTATAAACAAGTTTTCGTCTCATTATTTCAGTCACCCCATGTACAGAGAGGTCCGTCAAATCTCGCACTCCAGCTCTAGGACTTGCTCTCGAGAGGACGAGTTGGAAAGACTCGATCTATGTCTGTAGGAATCATAAATCACGAGATTGGAAGAGGTGTCTAATATATGAGATGACTCCTTGAGAAAACAGTCCTTTGAGGAACGACTGACACATGTAAGTCATAGAAGAGGATCTCCGGTTAGTACTTGGCTCCCCTGTAGAAGCTAGATGCTCATTTACCTGAGACCAAGAGCTGGAATATCTTCCAAAAGGTACTCATGTTACATGCAAAAGTACGGCAGTACTCAGGAATAAGAAGAGAATGATTGCTTGTCATTCCACAGAGGAGTCCTATGACTTCTCTGGTAATAAGACAGAGGTAGAAGTCATTCACGAAATAAGAAATTAGAACATGATTTCGTGTTTGCTGCACAAGGATCTTCTAAAGTCAAACAATGAAAGAATCACAAAACTTTGCAAATTTAGATATCGTTAGAAAACGATAAGACATTGGGTAGTTCATCATTAGTGAACAAAAGATCGCCAGAGATTCCTTACCTAGAAACTAAGGCAGGTTTGACTTCATATTCTAGTGCATAGAATGTATCCTAGTAAGAACTACAAATACCAAAACCGAATGTCCGGGAGGAACAAACCATGGTAGTCTCAAGGAGATACAGATGGGATGTGTGGAGCAAGGCCTAAGCTACTTATGCAGTTATTGAAAATAAAAAAGAAGGGATTCGGAGGTTTAGATATTTACATTCATGTCGAGACTTAAATCAATTCTTTTTCTGAGAAAGGAATGTTGATAATCAAATCTTATCATGTGTATCTTTCAGATTTCAACAATATCCAGCTATATTTAATTAATTATAAATTTTGTGAACGATTTTAATTATGAACAGGGGAATTTGAATTGAACATGCAAAAGAAATTTTTAAAATTGACTGCACTGTTTGCGTTGAATTATATGAATTTCAACGATGTTATCAGGAGGAAAAACACATGTATATCAGATTTCTTTTCATAGACCAAGCGGACTTTAAATGCTGATCTTTGCAAGCACAATGGTTTTGGATGGAAATAAGTAAACCAAACAAACACGTTGTACAGCGAGTTATAGGTGTAAGGGATCCATTTCTTCTTTAGTCGGAGGCTGGTATATATATTGGAGATATATATTTTTTGGATTAAATGGTGTAATGCATGATCATCGCCCATCATTCTAGCACTGTTGTCGTCATCAATAATGTATGTATAATGTGGTGCAAATATCCTCATATACTCTACACTACCACTGTCTAAAATCCAGCCTCAACGTTGATTGCAGCAGGATGGAGATACAAGAAAACAAAGTTCTAGAGTTGGTGTACTAACTTCTCAAAGCCCTTTAAACTTGGGGTGCTTTGCCTTTCTTCAAACCAAAAGGCTAATTGATGAACAAAGCCATGATGCGATACTAAGAACTTCATACCTCAATCCTTGACTTCAATTAATATTAAGATAATATATTATCGATGAAGAAAAGAGCGAAAACATTGGTGCGACTGGAATGGTAACAATGTTCCAAAAGTTATGAGGGAGATTGGTGCAAAATGGTGCAATTTGTCTCTCACGAGAACAACTATTTAGTACACTCAATACTGAGGGTGAGGTCGAAGGCGGGGTGTATAATGCTGGAATGATTAGGGCTAAAAGTGAAGACCAAATGTCGGAATCGTCCACATGCGCAGCACCATGTTCCATGGTGAGATCGAAGAATTACGACTCGGTTTCGAAGAAGAAGAAGTTTTGAACATTATCCCTCTGCAGCAACATGGACTGACTGACTGACTGACTCATACGATTATAACCAGAAAGTGGAAGCAAAGCTCCTTTCGAAAAGGAAAGAGAGAGGGAAAGGTAAACACACGAAATTATTCAAAGCTGATGAGCCTATTTATAGAGATTTCGAGAAGAATACCAAGAGGCACAAACAAACAGTGACAGAAAATTGCGAGCTCCATTGAAGACCGCCAGACAAAGAATTTCCGGCCTTGTCCACTATTAATAAGTGCGGAAGCTTATAAATAGACGCAGAGGGTGTCGGAGAACAATTCGGAGGGCTGGCACATTTATGACCAGTGTCAACATGAGCCATGACGACTCCAAGAATAGAGGATGAGAAATGAAGAGGGCCGTTTATGAGCGAGATCGCTCGCTGTGGGTGTTGGAGTTGGTGTTGGGCGCTCGCAGCAGCAGCTTTGGAATGTGAGCCTGCCGAAGGTGGTGGCCACTTAGGCCGGCTCTGAAGCCGACCTCTTGACCTCTAATCACTCGCTGCGGAGCTTGATTCGACCTCTGTCGAGAACAGAAATTGACTTTCCCATCGGCCGTGGCAGCGCTGCGCGTTTTCAGGAGCTCGGCCCTAATCGCATCTGGATGCTCTCTGTAGTAACTCTGCTAATGATGGATCGCAGCATTTACGCTTCGCTGCCAGGTCTTCAATGTCACGCACTTCTATTACGGCTTCCTTCCTTCGCTCCCCAAGCCTTCGCCTCTAGAACACCTCCATAAAGCGGTCGCCCAGCCGCACATTTCCAAGTCGGCAGGACAAGCTCGGTGACAAATCAAAGGGGGCATGATCAACGCGACACACGATGTTGGACGATCTCATCATATCGCCCATCACATCTTCTGGATAAAGGCTTTCCAACTTGTGTCTTGATCATCAATGAATGTGTGACAAACCTTTTGATGAAGTTGCATCTTCTGTAAATCGATGTGTCTTCTAAAAGTAACTTATGGCCATTATCTTGTATATTTGTTCCGAATCGTATCATACTACTTTTCAACCAATTAAAAATATCGAAGCATCAATGCATCGTCTCCTAAGGTAGAGTGAATCGATGATTGTTCAATTGAAAACTGCAACAGACAAGGGACAAAAATCTGTAGAAACGAACATACATAAAGATAGCGCATAAACTTGGCATATCTTATGGCGACTACAAGCCTTAACAAACACATCGATAGTTGTGTTATTAAAGATGTATAGTTAAAATATTTTCGATATTTAGAGATTATATTTGATTCTTCTTGTTATTGTTTCGTTAAAGAATTTGCTGATATCTATCAGACGATAAAGTTTTTTATATTTCGTTAGATTGGTCTAAATTTAAAGCTGTTTTAATACGTAATTTTCATCATTATATTTTTTTCATCATTCTTTAAGATATAGTTTGGTTTGTCTTTGAGAAACTTGAAGGCGTATTTACTTCGTTTATGTTGTTAACATTACTGGTCTCCTTTCAGTTCGAATGTAGACATTTCGAGAAAATGGTTGGCTTGTGTTGCTATATGAAGGGATATCAAGCTTTCTTCCTGAAGTAAGTGCAAACTTACTGATTCGCAAACATTCAGAACCGGGCCTGAAACGCTGATCAGAGAACCTCGTCTTCATTATCACCATGCAAAACATAGGTATGTAATCAAGCTACATATCTCATTTTCCTTTAATAAATAAATGCCGAAGAAAATTCAAGCAATATTGATTTTCAGTATAAAAAAATCTCCTAGCTCGTGAAAAATACTTGAAATGTCTTATTATTCACCTGGGAGACGGGATATTCGAATTTGTAACGAGTCTTGCATGATTGAAAAATAGTAGGACCTCAGATAAAGAAAAATTTCCCAACACTGCAGAAAGCTCTAGGATCAGTTCTTGAGATCAATATACCGGAGAAGCATAGCATGGAAATATCGAAAGATGGTGAGGACATTGTCACCCACTGATGAAAAGATGACCAGTGGCGTCTGGCTCACGTCATCTTGGAAGTAGGTTGCGGATGAATGAAAGAGAAGTTGAGACGATTCTTCTCACTTTCCGGTAGTGGCATAGAGTTGGGCCGGATCAAGCGAAGAGGCAACGCAACTGATACTTCCTGATGACAGTTACAAAAGGGGAAGTATGTGCCTAGTCATGGCACCCAAAGGCAAGCAGGATGACAGTCGTTCTTGTGAACCCACCAAACACTGCACGCGGTATCCATCGGTGGCCGATATGAAAGGCTTCTAGATTTCTACAATAGAGTGAAGCTTAACGAAGCACCTCGTGGAAAAGCCACTACTGTATTTGTTCACTGCGCTGACCTGCAGAGAAGCGGAATGGAGATTATTAGGTTTGCTTTGAAAGAACGCTATACGACCTGCTTCCAAAGGGAGAATATGAGCAATGCTTTGCATATACAGCATCATCATGGGGCTAAAAAAATTAATCGTTTCGTCCCAGCTATACGACCTGCTTCCAAAGGGAGAATATGAGCAATGCTTTGCATATACAGCATCATCATGGGGCTAAAAAAATTAATCGTTTCGTCCCAGAAATACATGGACACTGGCTATTGGAATTAGATATGAAACCTACTCCCACAACATCTCCTAGCAATAAAAAATTCGATGGCTTATAGATATAAAAATCTATGCGAAGACTCCATCACATTGAACTACGCACAAAATCAACGGGTAATGAATGGCTAGTCGTCATAATATCATAAATAAAATAGTAAATAATCATAAATCATCAAAATATCCAACAAATTTACAATTATCATAACATCGAATTTGGTACGACACATCAAACATAAAATTGACCATTCTGTTCAATTGGATGGATCCGTAGCTGGTGGTCGGTGAGTTAGGGTCGACCTCGTAGGGTTTAAGGAGATCGTCTCTTTCTGGTCTTATTTTCGGTCAAATATATTCCATCTCCGTTCAAGGGGCAGAGTATCAAGTCCAGTATGGATAGCCACTGTACTGTATTGTACGTTTGAAAACGTACAGTACTGAAATCACGAGGTAGAGACAGAAACCAGGCCATACCGCGCCGGTATATTTGTCGGCACGACTTGCCTTCAAGCAAGCTCTTTCTGCAGTAAAATGGAAAGTATTGCTGCAGGTGACAGTTGGCTCAGGGCAATGACTGAGGGGTCAATGGTCAATGCTCACAAACTTACAACTTCTCCCTCTTCCCATCGCCGAGTTAATGAAGGCAAGGCAGGAAAAGAAGAACGGGGAAGCACCTCCGCACGGTGCAGGTTTTTGGGGAACAGGAATGTGCCAGTCAGGTAACAATCCCTTTTGTCTTGCCTCCCACTTTAACCGTCAGTCAATCAAACTCAGCCCGGGTTGTACTTTCGGAGAAACAATCTTCCGCGGTGTTTAATGTTGGGGCTAGCCCCCAAGTTACCTGTTTGGTTTTATCCCGTCGACTTGAATTATATAATACTCCGTCGGGTAATTTCCATTTAGGGAATTCACATTTATTTTTCCATTACTCGGTGACTGCTTCTGTGATATTCTCTACTTTTTGCCTTTTTAAATGTACTCGAAATTTTATTCAAGATCGACTGGATTTCCATCTACGGTACACGTCAAAATGTTTTCATAAGTGACCCATATATAATCTGGACTAAGATATGGAGAAAAAAGAATGAGATCCACGTATACATATCAACGGAATGAAATTTAAGATCGCGTTTAATAGGCTTCGGTGAACCACACCTTTTAGCATATTCTTGAAAGACCATTCGACAGATTGACAACATAGAAAACGTGATATTTTATGAGACAGAAGTAAGAAATATGCATAAGAAGACTGAATAATATTACATAAACATGGCAGAACATTACTGGGTTCAGTTCGTTTCCTAAAATGCAAAAGGATTTGAGCTCATTCCGAACTTCGAATTCCTCGTATGTGTTCTTCAGTGAATGAAGTTTGCGAGGATTTGTCGACAAGATACAACCAAATATATTGGTAGCTAGATTTAATCTTGTGACATCCTGGTGGATGACATTGTTCAAAATCATGTAGCCAAATATCAAATGTTTAGAATTTCTATACAGAGAAACTTTCCCAGAAGAAGAGTTGAAACTGCGAAGCCTTCTACAGGTCAAACTCAAATGAAGAGAAGAATATAAGTTACTCTGCAATTACCTTGTCTAAGCTGTAACCGACGCATTTAAAGTCTCGACACCATCAATCGTCAAATCCCTCCTCCTTGTAAAGCTCAATGTGCTTCCTTTTCTTCATGAGTAGAGAAATGTCCATCGAGTAATATAGCGAAAAAGGATGGGAAGATGGAGCTTACTTTTCTTAGTGAGTTGAAACACATCATTTGGTGAGATACAATCCTGCTGTTGTGACATGAAACCGAGAAAACACATGGAACGGTGGAATTATGTAAGATGTATCTCGTCCACTCTCACTATGCACGCTCATCGTACTGAAACTGCAGTTTTCCGTAAGATTCAGTAAAATATTTCCATCAAACCTAAATTCAAGGCTGCATACTTGCTGACAGAATAAATGCAAGTGGTTAGAGGCTAAACCAGGAGATATAGTGTCTGGTAACTTACACTAAGCGGTGGACTTTTGAATCGAGACACTATTATGTTTTGTCTCTGCTCGTGGCTTGTCGTCATCATCTTTAATCGTCCGGTTTTTCCCTCGTATCTTTTCAGTTTTCCTCCGAAACAGTTGCTTCTTCAGCGGCTGAAGCTTTTTCCCTAGTGATAGACCTTGCTGATAGTATGAACGTAGGCAGCTGAAAAAGTTCACTGACACTTCTGGATACTGAAAAACTAATGCAATGTGATCCTGCAAACCTTCAGACTATAACTTTACTAGATGTGTATAACGTAGATAGGATCATGCATCGGAATTACAGTGACACTTTGAATGTTGTAAAGTGCATTGTGAGGACGAATAGGATGAGCGTCCCAGAGCAATCTAAGTAGATCGATCTCGTAACATAGCCATTAGTCGGGACGTTAGTGCTCCTTCAGAGAGTTAGGGTTCCTTTTCTAGGCTTTAAAATTTCATGGCATTCCTCGCTCAGGACTTTCGTGGTAGCGTAGGACCTCTCTCTTCGTGTTCCCATGTCTCATCTCTCGCCAAGTGGAGGAAAACTTCTATGAACCGAATAACATGTAAGTAAGGTTTATAATGTAAGATTTAAGCAGGAGGAGTGGAGACGACGGTACTGGATGTGAGATGGTAGACGATTCAGAATATATGTAAGAATAATCCTCAAGGCGAAAACGACCTGTTTCTTACGAGGACCTAGTCAAAAAGTTGCCCAGGGTCAAATCCTTTTGGGAGCCGAATGAATTTGTCCTTATCTTTGGGACACAGAAAGGAGCTCTTTTGAGACGATTCAAGATATCTTCAGTAGACCACACTTTGTGCAATGTTTTCACACAAGGATTGTCAGACGATGAAAAAGCTTCGAGAAAATTGAATACAGATGCAAACCAGCTTCAAAAGGTTGTACTTTACGAACTCACTGGTACAACCTAAGATATTCCGAATTTCACGAGCTTTATAGATAAGAATTGCTTCCATCCATTACCCGTTTGTGGTACATTATACTCGTCATCTGTCAGATGTTGATTCATATCCGGGGGCGCATACTGACTCAGAATAAAGTGAGGATGAGAAAAGGGGGCACACAGTTAGACCTTCATAGTCCAAGTTACTCCAGTGCAGGTTTTAATGTGTATTCGGCGCAGGTCACATGGTTAAATCATGCGCGATGCTCGGAAACACTCTTATCCCGAGTTTTTTCGCCATCTCTGTCGCTGCCAGACACAAAACATCCAGACACTTGGCTCGGCTACAACTACTTTATAAGTGCGCTCACCCATCACCTAGGCCCCTGTATGGACCACACATAACAAGGCAGTTAACATAATAGCAAATCTAACAAGAAAATCTCTGAACATAACCCAGAACATCTTCATCACTGAATTCATAAAAGAATCAATTCACTCATGACAACAAAGTTCTAATCTGGCTCCTAACTTGCTGCTTCCGAACCACTCAATGTGCTAATGGTGACCATTGTATTTGAGTCGTTCACAGAAACCCATGAGTATTTTAAGCGAGAATTTGATTTACTAGATCTGGTGACCCTATATTCTTTTAGAAGACTGCACACGTCTTCATTCTAGAGCATTCGCAGACGCTGTGAAGAAAAAGCTAGATAACTACGTGCTTGAATAATTAATACCCAAACTTTTCTGGAAACTTGACCGTGGTGTTTATTTATAAATTATTATGAGTTTCCAAACTATATGTGGCATTGGTGAAACCACAGCTTCCTAGGCAGTGGTCAATTGGGTCCTCCATTACAGTTCAGAAGTTAGAAATAGCGAGATGCTCTGGTATCAAGAGATCTGGCAAACATCAACGACTATGTCTAATCCAATCAACCACCCTTGAACAGTACTTTGGTGGCTTTAAAAAGGCATTGAGTGATACCTGACTTCTTCCGGAAGTACATGAAAGTACACTCGACTCTTTCTAACTTGCAACCCGTGTGAGTGCAAGTGTGGGGTTGTGCCCGGACAAATTGCAATGCTACAAGACAACTTAGACGTTCTAAGTGCACTTACTTCACATCTTTTTGCTATATTATTTAATACCCAGAGACTTATTTGCACTTTTAGAGAGTAAATTGGTTAGTAAACTCTCAACGTGTAATGGCAAGGAAAAATCATCCAACCTTCAAATATCTTGGAAAAAATTTCCCTCCCTCGACCTCTGAATCCTTAGCCAATATGCTACCCCGAAGATTTTCTCGACGTGTCGGATTCTATGGATCAGGTTCGTTGTATTCGATGAAAAGTTGCCGAATCTGGCCAAATACCGTAGATGTCGAATCCGCCACCATCTTCCAAAGGTTGGGATCGGATTGTAAGTGCTCTGGATATGATGAGTATCCATGCAGAGCTTATTCTGCAAAATAAATTGTAACGGTTTTCTTCAGTAGCAACTGCTTATGAAGATAATGAAGTAGGTGGGAGTGAAATTGTCACCAGGTTTTCTCCTTCCATTTGGGAGGGTTTTCATCCTTTCATCACATCCAAATCTTCATGAAAAACCTCAACCTCATAAACAGTCCCTTTAACTGGTTAGCCATGTCAGTAGAAAGCCCCTATCTCTGACCTTTGACCATGTACTGTAGTACTGCACTATGAACCTTTCACCTGAGACCGAAAGATCACTAACTATAACCTCGTTAACAGTCGTATATGGTGACCCTACACAACTCAGCTGATTTCAAGGAAAAGAAAACTAAAACGTGCAAAAATAGGAAGGTAAAAGAGTATCAAAGAAGAACCAAAAGAATAAAGAATATGAAAATACTCATCTCCACCAACCTAAAATCCTCTATGTTGATCCTTGTATCTCAATTTTCACCATATATGACTGCTCCTACTCACCGTGATGTGAGGACTAAATTCTCACATTTAAAAAGTGTCTCAAGAAGTCTAGTGAACCTTCTTCAACCTAGAAAAACTGTCTACAATGTTTATCAAGTCTTCCTTCTTATTTTATCAACGAATTATTTCCGACCTCCCTTTGTCTCTAAATTTACGGAAATCATAACTGCCAAATATCTTCTAGCAAACATCTCCTAAAAGCACTCCATTATGATATTAGAAACGCTGAACAATACACAACTATTCTTTGTCTTTGGCACCAAAACTTTTCCACTATAACTTTCGAGTATCTTTATTTCCGATTTAAGTATGAAAAAATGGATAAAAAAACAACAACACCCTCACATGCGTCAAGAAGCTTCTTATACTTTATTGACAAAAATCTGGCTCTCTTAGCCTTTGTGATGCTCGATCGTAGCAGATTAACAAAGAGAGAGGAAGTACTTTTCTATTGTCGAGATCGTAGTAATTGTCTCAACAAAATCCTTCAAGAAGAAGCGAGGACTATTTCTCCAAATAAACATATTGGCATATTCTTTGTGTCTAGATCTTTGTTTCATTCAGGGTGCTAGTGCGTAGAAACCACGTCAAGAAAAGAAGAAAGAAATGAGCAGCTAATCACGACTTCACATAGTTTAAACTTCAACCGAATAACGCTAATTTTGCTTGTGGGGACCAAGAACTCGTTCGCCTTATTAAGAGAGCATAATGTGGACCCTATGACCAAATCTTATAAAGTTTAGGGAAAAATTCTCTAGGTTAATGTGTCCAACTATTCCACCGACGCTTCATACGTTTGCATCATTGGGAGGCTCATGCCAAGACCACTTTAGCTTTCTCTGTACATCTGGTACATGATTGCCTCGGTAACCCTCGAAAACATAAATCGGATTTTCCGACTCTTCCATATTGACCTTTCCTGTATTATTGAAACAACCAACAGGTAATGTTTGGAATAAACAGAAGAGAAACTAATTTTATCTAGAAACTTTATTGAAAATAGTGCGGAAGGGCAGAACTTTATAACGAAATATAGCACATGCGGCTTATTAAAGAAATATTTTCGATCCTGCAGAAATGAATACCTTAATCTGGCAACTCTTGTGAGTACCTTGGCCATTATATTTTGATACAATCAGAGTCTCACTAACAATAAATGTATGTTCCCAAAAAGGTAAAATAAGTTCTTAGTGGAAGTTCATATCATCAAATCTTTTTGACAATATATATATATATATATATATGAACCGCCAACGGGTCATGCGAGGTTATAACCTAGAGTGTTGCCTGGCATATAATGATCTATTCCTCGTGAGAAATACAATATTTAGCCAGAAGAGATTTCAATGCTCAATTTTACACATTTACGACCGATCAGAACGTCATTGATCTTTTCTTTACAAAGTTTTGAGATGGTACACAGCGAACGCTAAGTAGATTCTAAGGCGTATTCAAAAGACCTGAGCAATAATAGACTCTTTTAAAAAACCAATTACAAGGATAACTAATTGAAGTATTGAAATCGGTTTGCACAAACAAGACAATCCCTACATCACACTCGATCATGACATGTTGAAATTGACTGGCAATAAACATCATCTCAAAAACTTCACTAAGTCTTCGTGTAAGCCAATTGGAGACATGGTGATGGTTTTTCTCATTCAAAATATCAACCCTTCAATAAGGTATAGCTTGTTCTCCTATTCTTGATGTTTTTCCTAACCCCAAGCCAAACTTTGCAACCGTTTATAATGGTCACCTCATACTTCAACTAACTGTGAACCTTTGTCGGCTTCCAAAGCTCGTTTGAATGAAAATACACCTCACATCACCATCATAATTTCCTAAATGGGCGACATGAACACTGATAAACAAGACTGTACGAGCATCCAACTTGTGTCTCGCCCGCGGATCCTGTGCAAGGTGCAAGAAACTTCTGTTCTTTCTTATCACGTATCTGCTCACTCTTATGCTTAATTGTTCTCTCAAAGCTTTTCTGGCATCAACATTCGAACAGTCAGTCAGATACGGAGTCTAATATGGACGACTGACTGAGATTGCGGGAGATGATGTGTGCTGGAGTCGATCCAACCTGTCTAAACCCCAATACCTTCAAAGGTTCATGCGACATAGTCTATTGGCTTTCCTGTAAATTCGTCGGTTCGATGCTACCATAGACATTACACGATCAGACACCCAGTACATGTCTCACCCCTTCTCAATCGCTTGCTCTCTCTCCCTCTCCCTCTCGCATCATACCCTGTATTTGTTTTTTCCCCTGGTATCACATGGAGAGGACAACTGAATTTTTTTTGGAAAGGACTTCTCAGAACCCAGCTGGTATTGATATAAAATGTCGATTTCTCTCGTAGGAAAAAGGAGTATCGTATCTCTCCAGTTCTAGATCCATATTGTGCGCAGGTACTCTCCTCTTCTGGACGTCACATATTCGAAATGAAACAGGACAAATGTAAGGGAGCTTGAACCTGTATCGTCTGTCGTACAAAAATCGTGAGTCACCATAAATTTCGATGACGACCATATTGATTCAATCTTTCGTGCTTGCCATTGACTGGTTGAGATGTTGTCTCCCTTTGATCGAACAAGGGCGCGAGCTGACCTCTTGTCTTCATTAAAATATGCATCAGCTCTTGCGCGTTTGTAGTGCTTTTTATCGACCATCGCAGAAAATCGACAGAGAAGGGAATTGAAGAGGGCTCGAGAACCTGAGGTCGAACTAAAGCCCTAGGGAAATATCCGCCCGGCAGGGAAGGGCGAGAAGGGCGAGGAGGGGAGTCCGTCCCCCCACGTCCCGGCGGCCATCACCATGCATCATGTCATCGCCGCAGTTACGCCCTACCGTACCGACTGTCTTGTAGTACAGCCGCTCCTGCAGGATACCCGCACACGATCTTAGGGTGGTTACCCCGTTCTATACCCGGCGACCCCTCCACCGGTCAAGATCTGAGGTCGTACTCGACAGTAGCCGGTTCCGCTTGACCTCAGTCCTACTCACAATATTCCCGAGCTTTGTCAGCATGATGCCACATCGACGACTTCAAGTCGCCCGACCCACCTCGGGCCGTCGATCTCACTCAGCTCCGGCGTCCTCTACACAGGCCTAGCTTCCAGTGTCGGTTTCCCCCCTGGGACGAGGAATTGTATTTAATTAATGTCCAGCAGCCCGATCCGACGGTTACCAACTGCAGCGGTGGTGGATCGCCCCCTCGGAGATTTTCTCCTTGACTAACTACATCGTCCTAAAAAACTGTACACTCATGATGGCCGCCTGCGCGTTCTCTCCTACCGAGTAGCCGCGCTTTTCCCGATCTACCTTCTACCGCCGGTCGCTCAATGATTCAGGTCCAAATCCGGTGATTTGTTTGTATTACGATTTCCGAAATGCTCGGGACTGGGCTCCACGTTGAAAAGAGGCCGCTCCAGACATACAATTCTTTAGGCGCCCTCGTTTTTGGCTCGTAGCGACTGGTCACACCGGTCTCCGGTCGAGGTAGATGCTCGAAAGTACAAGGGAAACAGAACGGTGTAGAGAACTGCCCTACAGAGAAGAGAGTGATTTTCTCACGGTGCGGAGCCCGGTTACCGGAGAAGGTTACCAAGTATCGCTGGTGCGGGGTTTTTCCTTGATTTAATTAAATAGACTATGAGTCCTCATTAATTTCATTATTTACTGCTCTGTGAGTTATGTGGGGGCCATCGATAGCGTCACCGCATGCTGCCATCCGACTGCGTAAGAAGGAAATAGGCCCGAGAATATAATTGTGCACCGATGATGAGGACCTTGGGCTTGAGGCCAGGATCGGACAAAAGCTCGATAAAATTAGGAGATTGCGGACTTCGATCGATTCAATCGGCTTGTCCAGAAGCAGACGCGGTTTGCAGTTTCGTGGGAGACTCGGTGGTGGGGAATTAGCATTTGGATCGAAGACAGACATAACGAGTCAGGGTGTGGACAGGTTGGGCTGAAAAGTCCGAGAACTCGAAGCGTGATGTCGCGCTCGTGTCATCTCGCTCGTTCTCTTGTGGGTTCGAATTCTCGCTGGAGAGAAGTGAGTGGAGGAGAACGCGACGGAAGGCGTGCGAAGGATGAAGAGAAATGCAGGTCCCAACTGCTCCGATCTTGGGACATTTCGCTAGATCAGCAAATCGGCGTGAAGCTTTTTGGTCTAAAGATGACAGCGATTTTCTCTCGTTTACCTCTTCGGCTCGGAACGATGGTGCACAAGGACTCTGTCGAGTAGTCAAGAGCGAAGGGTCCACAGCCGGGACAAGGCTTTCCTCCACTTGAGGAGAGGCATCTCAGAGCGCCCGGCCCTAATAGGATCTTGGTGCGCCCCGAGCAGCACCTTCTGCCCAGCCAGCGAGCCAGCCGGCCAGACAACGAGATCCCCAGTGCCCCACTGATGGTGCCTGGAAAGGAAAGACCGGACCTTAGCTAGCTGCCGCCCTAGAGTTGGAGAAAGTCTGTTCGTACGAGCTCGGCCTGGGACCCGGCTGTCCGAAATGAGTGAAGGCGTCGCGCCGTCTCGCACAATGATGCAAGGCATCCCCGGTACGAGCGGCAGCGGCTGCTTTAGGAAGAAAAATCGCTCCGTTCCCTCTCGAATGTCTTGTAAATGTAAAGCAAGCCTTCACACGACGAGGAGACTCTCGGAAGATGAGTGTGACGGTAGCGGTGAATTTTTGGAATTGGCAGGTGCCTCCAGGCAACAGCAAGGCGACAACACGCGTTGCCTCTAGACAGGAATGGTGGGAAGCATCGACATGATGAGGGACGAGGACTTCACAGATTTACATTGCGTGTCTCAGAGACAGCATGATGATCGCGGGAAGATAGACAGATAGATAGACAGAAGTAGCTTGCAGGCAGACCTTTCCCTAAGGACGTATAATTGGTGCAAGTCTGGGTTCGAAAAGAGCACAAAACACTGATGTACACCTAGCCTAGCCGTGCCGCATGAAGACGGCATATCCTCATATGAACTTCTCCATACAGACACCAGTACGTTGTACTCACAATGATGTATCAACAAGATACAGTCCCATCTGCAGGCGAGCAGACGATGGTCCAGCATGTAGCAGGCGTCGCTGCATGCACTTCTGCCGACGACGACGACGACGACGACAGGAGGCGGGGATGCATGCTACCTGCAGCATCCCTGCCATCGCAACGAGGACGGATGCAGTTTGACGAAGGGAAAAAACGGATGCACAAGTTCCCAAAACCCTTCGCCGGGATCCGGCTCATTGCAGGAGTCACGTGACCCGCGACGAAGAAAGCCCGGAACCAAGATTGAGCACAACCAGGACATCCGAGAAGGGATGCAACCGCGTGGTCTGCTTCCACCGCTACCAACTCTTGCCTGCATTCCTTTCTGCCGCGAGCAGTGCTCTGCTGCATATCTTTTCCGCAAAGGGCAGCTTGCTCTTTTTCTGCCATGCTCAGGTTATCGTTGATGAGAGAATTTACTCTCTCTGATGACCGCCAATTCAGACGGATCATTTCCCCTCACACCACATGGTTCTCCGAGCTTCGACCAATCCAGGAGGATCATTCCGAGACGGCGTAAGCGCTGCCACGTGAATCAGGGCGGTCTTAATGTTGATGTGGCGGGATTTAGGACCCTCAAAGCACATCGTCGCCGCTAACTGCCACCAGTCGGAGTCTGCACGAAGACACTGGAGTCCTGGAACGCACTTGACTCAGAGACCGGTAACTGAAATCTTTCTCTGCTCATGCAATTTTACTCCGGTACTCTCATTTCCCAGTTCGAGGCTGGTCGTGACTGGTATCTTCAGCGCGGAAAGAAAACATATGATTCGGCGTCTGGGTCGCGTTTCGACTCACTCGGGGCCTGCTTTGACAGTGCATGCAAACATTTGGATCTTACGACTCGCTCGCTCAGACATAAAATATTTCGGTCATTAAAATACAGAATGGAACGTTGCACGCATTCCGAGAGACATGGCAGTCCCCGCCCCTCCTTCTCTGCACCACCTGCATTGAAGCTGGAGCCCAGTTGAGCTGACCAGGCGCCAAAGTCTCTCTCTTGGCGGCCATAGCCAGAAATACAGCAGGCGTGAGGAGAGGAGAGGGGAGAGAGAGAGAGAGAGAGAGGGTGCGCGAGGCTTTTGGGCAGATTACATGCCACTAGAACTGGTGGGCCACCCACCAGCAGCGGCATTCCTCACGTCATGCTGGTTGGCAGAATATCTTCAACAATCTTGTTCTGCGACCTTGCTCTGCGGTCAATTCTCTTTCTGTTGAGCAGAATGAGTGGTTCTACGAAGTAGGTCAATTCCTTTTTTAACATTCCTCTTCTTCGCCCCCACTGCCCACCGTCCCCGACCTTCGGCCCCGCTCCTCCTTCTCTCCCATCTTTCTCGATCCCCTCGATCTGTCGTCTTTATGAATCCTCGAGGTTATATAACTCACTTTGACCATGAACGGATGAGATGGTTCTTTACAGTCTGCCCTTCTGCAACTTCCTGTCGTTTCATCCCCTCGATCCAGTTTCTGGCATCTTGAAGATCTGTCATTCCTCCTTCTCTCAAGCGTCCAACAATACGTCCATGGAAGAAGGGCCACGAGAGGAGCAACGTTACAGAAGAAGATCTATCCAGCCCACCAGTTCAGCACGTACTTCAGAAATCACCAGTGACTGATATGAATAAGCATGAAGTATCCACGAGAAGACGAAAATCATGCAATAGTCTACGTCTGTAGGCTTGACTTCGTGCTCCAGAGTCCAATCCCTTTTAATACCTTAACTGTATCATATCTTTCTCGAAACCACCGCCTTACTAAACTAGTCCAGGGAAGGGAGTAGAAATTCCATCTCCACTTTCTAACGGCAGATACTTAAGATGACTGCACTGTTTCTACAGCTTTCTGGAGCCCGCTTATTTCAACTTATTTCATCAGATCAACTTTTCGCGGAGGTAGAGAACAACATTTATACTTTCCAGGTGTTTCCCCCCTCGAAAAGAGAAATGATTTCGTTCATAAATGTTGGTATCTCTGTGCGAATGATCTACCGGAATCTTTGTTTGTCACTCATCAATCGTTGGAAATGGTGATCAGATTACCATGAACATACTGTGGCGACTGGCTGTACATCTTTTGCGGAAGAGATTTTCAGAAGGAAAATTTCTAAAATCCTGAAGAAACGGGGGACACGGTAAAACAACAAAGCGGCACAAGTAGAATGCACAAGCACATCTTCATTATGGATTATCTATGTCTCGATGATTATATTCCACATAGACGGAAACCAGAAAGCCTGCTGCATACGCTCCTGGAGGATTCCTCTGGTCTTGAGTGTTTCATAGGCTAGGTATGAATCTATTGCCCGAGCAATTGCACAAGCCTAGTACCTATCTGCTACCCAATTTTGTTAAGAGAGTGGCAATCATGACATGGAACTGTACCCCCTTCTTGCAACTTTTTCTCACTCCTCTCGTACAGTTCTGCTTTGTGCTCCGTTTTTTAGACTGTCCCCACTTAAGTGTATCCTCTTACGCGTTCAATGTGGGGTTCCTCTACACTTTCAGCCTGTTTTCTCATCTTTTGTGATGGACTCCACTATCAGGGCCATCCCCGTTCTCTTCCCATAACTGCACTATAATAATGGAAGAATGCTATAAACGATTCGCTATCTTTGCCAGTGAGACTCTGGATATGTAGAACCCACAGCAGTACTGTGCAAAGGCAAAACACTCCTTGGTACGTTTCTCTAGGTCATAGCACAAAAGTGTATCGTGTCTTCAATGTTTCTCTCTTTCTTTCGTCCCATAACGGCCATGGAATATTGAGTCCATCATGACTCCTCTACATGCTCTTCGTTTGGACTGGATTTACTTTGTACGAAACTAACTTCCCATGTGATAGATAATTTGAGTATAACTATAGAGCATCTAGTTCTTTCTCAACTTGACTTGAAATGTGATGCTCTTTATGAACCCTGAAAGCCGCTTTATGTCTTTATATAAAAAGAATCTAGAATTAAATGTATCTGAAACGCATCATGTTGCTTGGATCTCTCCACTAGGATCAATACAGTTCCTGGTTCGAAAATTCTTATCCTTGGATTTCTGCAAACTGTTCATTTTTATCTTCACTTGAAGTTGATAATTGTTCCGATCCGATTTTGGCCTTTTCGTTTGAATTGCAGAACTCTTTTTCCAAACTTATCCTTGGACGGCGAAGAAGGTTGTTCAACATGATATCGTCGGGAAAGTGCAGAGGGTGAGAGCAAGTAAATGTCAAAATTGAGTCTACCAGAGATCCCTATTTTAAATCTTAAAAGGTTCAACAATTTGGGATGGAGTAAAATAGGGGAGAATATTTCAGACTTATACAGGTGGGCTGTAACGAACAGCTTCCGCTCCAATGAAGAACCAACGTCAACATCTACCTGAGCGTTGTCTACAAAACAACAGGCACACTCGCATCACTATTCCTAGAGGAGAGAGTCTTAGAACATGCTTCTGAAACGTTAGAAGAACACACGTGCTTTTGGGATGGAGTCACGTGTGGGATGGAAGCACTACATATTGGACAGCTGCTTTCAGGCCACTACAACTGCAAATCTATTTTGAAAGTATACTTCTCCCATTCAATATTTCAAAATTCTTACTTTTCCATGAAGTCCACAATCACACACTTGGTAACACCAATAGGAGACACATGGAAAACCCATCAACTCACATGGTCTTGAGAATATATTGTTTTTCAATACTAGAAAATCATTTGTGCATGTCTTTTTCTTTTCTTCTTTTCTTGTTATATGGTTTAGAGGATTGTTCACACAACTGTTTTTTAGATCCAAGATATAGTCACTAGCAGTCTTGACGAAAGACATTGGAAAGGGTAGTTGGAGAATCATGTAACATTTGAAGAAATGAATAGAGTCAAGATTTTATAAAAAAATTAGAGATAATGATCAGATCTATTATGTTATGACCAATCCGAAATATGTGTATCCAGCTAAGATGCTTTTAAACAAACTTAGAGATTATGGTCATTTCTATCATGTTAAAAATTGAATCAAAATAAAATTGAAAACAATAAAAAATGCTTCCAAACTCATCATACACTTTTCACTCTAACATGATTTACTTGTCTACTCTCAAAAGCGTAGATTAAAAATAACAATGGCATTGCTAACATTCATATAGAAAGAAGAACTTGTGGTAAAATTGATGTAAATAACTTTGATAGTCTTTTTTTGAAAGCATGCGGTCAGACAGTGCCCCGCCCTCCGGGCATGCCTCCCCGCATGTTACGCAATACAAGTATTTAAGATTCATTTCAAATTTTCAAGTATAGTATGCAAAATCAAAACAAGATGGTCTTTGATAAACTTTATTGGTGAAATTTTAGTGTTGTATTGATCTAGTTACTTCATAGATTGTACTTGAAGCTTAAATAAAGTGTAGCATCATTGAAAAGAATTTCTATCATTTTCTTAATATTAATCAGTTATATTTGTACATGATAAAGTTTATTGTGATTTAAAACTATAGATCTTAGTTTTTAATAAATATAAACAAACCTGAATCTGTGATGTAATTTGTTAAAAAAAATTTAATAAAAAATTTATAATCTAAAATTTCAATAATTTTGAAATATTATTTAAAAAAAAAATTATATTGATTTGAGATAATCATATATGATTATGATCATTATGGATTATGAAAAGATTATAATTTTTACCTGAAAATACATCCCCAAAAAATAAAAACTAAAGATTAAAATAAAAATTTACGTAGTCTCAAAATTAACAATAAAAATAAGTTTTTAAGAAAAATAGCAAGAAATCAATTCACATAGAAAATTATGCACATAAATTCACAACGCCAAGCCAACATATATATGGTTTGCCACTTTCTGGCTCTGTCCACGTGTACAACGAGTTATATATTTAAAAGTTTCAAAATGTTCAATGCGAGTTGTGGCAAATATATTTGATAGCAAAATTTCTAGTTCTAATATTATCAAAGATAAAGTACATAATGTAATCATAACTTCAGTTTAGTCAACTAGATTTAATCCGAAACTTGTGTCAATACTAACAATTTTTTTCTTAATTGATGATGTGGAAATAATAAAGTTCACAACCTATATGATTACTCTGGCCTTGCTTACAAAAAAACCCCAAAAAAAACATTTTCACCCTCTAAACTAGATCTAACCAAAAATAAGCTTTAGTTAAAATCAATAGAGATTAAAAATATATAAAGCTAACAAACATTACTAATATTTTCAACTTTTGCTCCTCATGTGATATCTTTATTATAGCATAATGTATTCTAAAACCTTCTTAAATTAACCTCGATCAATGCATCAGTTTGATTAAACTTGCCGTCAAACTTGATAAGTTTTTTGTTTTATCATCAACATCATGTTTGCTAACAAACATGATGTCGATGTATTTCACATGATTAACCATCACTTAATTTGCAACAAGATGTTACACATTTTTACTATCAACATTATGAATGACGATTTCATGCTTTAACCTACTTTCAATATTAAGATTCTTCAATCCATAAAATCCATTTCACTTCTTGTCAATACACTTTCCTTGGATTTAATATGTAACTAATCGTTTTGTTCCTAGCTAGAGCAATTTAAGTCTTGTGCATATCATAAAATATATTAGTTTGCCCACTATCGTGTCATAAAAAATCAATGATATATTTTTTTCAATGATATTGTTTAAACATTAAGATATGGAAGATTCAAACTGTGTTGTGAAATAAAACTATACTCAATGAAAGTTCGTCATGTTAATTTTATCAATCACACTTTGAACGCACTTATCTTCATTCAATTGTTGACCTTTTTGAAATTTGAATACGTTTCAAAATATATTAGGAATAAATATCATAACTGTTTATTTCTAATATTATTTTCAACGTATTAAAATTTTTCAATTTAAATATAGATTTCAACTGATTCTTGCAATTGTCAAAATCAAATTGATAATTTGATAAAATGAGCATATCATCCTCATAGAAACTAGAATGTGTATGCATGAAGAAGATGAATGATGAGATATTCAATCTTATTATTTAACTTCTTTATATCTACACATGAATCAAACAAATTTTGTGAAAATTCTTATGTTTTCAAAAATTTATCAAAAATTGCATTATAATGACTAGAAGTTTGTTTCAATGCATATAATATTTAAATCATTTACAAAGCAACTTTTCTTGATTTTTCTTTTCAAATTCAATGCGTTATCTCGTAAAGTTACTTTTTTTCCTCTAAAGTTTTATACAAAAAAATTTGTTACTACATTCATCGGATCTATAATCAAGCTTAACATTAGAGCAAGTGCACATACCAGTCAAATTGTAACATACTTTGCTACAAGTGAAAAAACTTTATTATAATTCACATTTGTGTAAAATATCCGATCATCAACCCAAGATAACAAATTACAAGTGAAAATCTCTAATTGATATATGTTAGATTATTTTTCAACTTGTACATCCATTTGCAATCAATCTAAACTTGAACTCTAAGAAATATCACTAGCTCTAAAAATTGGTTATTAATTAGCGATTACATCTCATGTTCAATAATAACATTTATTCAAGCTAATTGATAGAGCTTTGAATTTTTTTAGAACAAAGTTTTTTTTTCTTTTAAAATCAACGTAATGCGGTCATCATGCTATGTTTCAATATCACAATGTTCAAATGAATCAATTTACAACTCATACCTTATAAGAGTCATATTAATCCTATTGATGATCTCCTTGTAGATGATTCTTGTTGATTTTGCTATTGTTTGATAAAGATATTTGAGGTTCACTTATAATTATCTCTTTCATCAATTCATGCTTTTCAAAAATTTGCTCCAATAATAAATCTTAGCTAAAAATTTACAAAATAGTTTTCATCATAGATGTTAATATCCTCTAGTAGATTTACATGACATTTGCATTTTTATTGTATATATTCACCTCAAACGTTCTTTTTTTACAACTACACTTAAGTTATTTTGAATTTAACTATACAAAAAAATTTAATTTTTTTTCTCGTTTCAATATAGTTTGCACTATATAAAACATTTGAATCTTAATAAATTCAATATCCTCAATCTAAAATATTGATACTTTTCCAATGAGTAATCAAATCACCTGGTAGTAAGAATGTAAAAAACAATTTCAATTAACAAATATGGTAAAAATTAGTAGTATTTGAAATTCATACATCATCCACATCCATTGATGAATTGCATAAAGCATAATTGTGGTTTTGTAACTCATTGTTTAACAAGTCATAATTCTTGAGATTAAAATTTTGAATCATATTGGCAAAAAAAAGATTAACATCTGTTAGTTTCACACGGTAATTTTTGTTAATGTAACCACTATTGCCACATTTTTAACGTATCATTATCTTAGATTCTAAAAATTTATTCCTAGATTTGAATCGATCTTTAAATCTAAAATGTTTGTTCATATCGTCATTCCTGTAAATATAAAAAGTCAAATAACATCTAATGTCGTACCAAAAAATATGAAAGAAATGATATCATATTTTGTTATAATCATCAATCAACAAAACACTTACAACTTCATTGTCTATGATTACTTGACTATCATAATGAAACAACACATAATGATAGGAGTCAAATATTGAACTCAAAAGATGATGAGTTTTTTTTCATTATTTATCTTTTCTCTTAGATTCTAGTGATAAATGACAATATCATTAAACCCATCAATGTGATCTTGGATCTTTAAATCAAAATCTTTCATTTCAAAGCTCATCAACTTTGAATTAACAAATAAACTGATCAAAAACTCTTTCCAATAAAAATATACCTTAAGAGACTCAAATAGCAAAATGAAGTATTCATTTGCTTCAAGGCCAAATGTAGTTTGATTATACTCAAAGCTTGTTCTTAAAGATCTCACTAGTCATTGTCGTTGTAGATGAAAGGTTTTAGCATCAATATTTGCCTACATTCATAACCTTAAGCTTGCGCTTCACTTGCTTATCCAAAAGCAAATAATCATCACGTCCATTTTACCTGACTTATATTACTTTACAAATTTCACAATGACACGTACATGAATAGGGTCAATGAAATTCAAATACCGATCTTTGATACTCAAACATCTTTTGCACACCAGGCTGTCAATCATAATTCATGTATCTAATACAATGAACTTCTAGTATGTGCTTAAACCTCTACTATATAAAAAGATTCAATAACATATATCTTCACAATTACATGGAGCCACTATCTGTAACTCCTCCCTATCTCCTACTTCTTTCACCATAAACAATTTTCAAAAAATCAATTTAACAATAAAAATCTGTAGTAAATAAATTTCATATCATCTCTAAATTCAAATAAAATCTTATTCAGCTCAAGATGTTATAGGAGGAAGGACGTGGTCAATTGTAGCGATCAAAATAAAAGAAGCAGGTTCAAGTTCTTGCAGCTCGTAGTTTAGCTCAAACATCACTCTTTTTAGATCCAATAGGACCTAAAGTTGTCAAAATCATATCATAAAAAATGGCACAATGCTCAGAACAAAAGGTGCAACAATCAAACTCTTCCAGCTCAATTAGCTTAGCTACAACACCACAATTCTTAGATGCAATCGCACTTGAAATTGCCAAAATCACATCATCAATGATATTACAACATGTGCTACTTCTTGCATACATCACATTATTGAATCATTTTTTCGCTTTGATATCAATTGTAACATAAGTGCACAA